GGGGAGGGGCTGGTAACCCCTCACTAATGAGCTACGCCTAATTAGCGCTGGGGGCGGTTCCCCCCAGCTGATTATTTTTGCGGTGGTGACACTAATGACTCCTCCCCCCAATTAACACCCAACGCTAATTAACCCCCCCCAGCTAATTAGCCTCCCAGGAGGGTCAGAGCACCCCCCCTCCGCCCAACTGCTAATTAACAACCCAGGTCCTTACCACAGGCCAGTGGTGGCAATCGCTAATTAACACAGGTAATTAATAAAGACCAGTAGTGACCCCCCAGCCCAGATGAGCACTGCAGGGTAATTAAGATGCTAACGATCAATGGGCTGGCCACAGCCTCGCCAGCCCCCGAAATAACCAACAGGCTCAATACTACAGCCCCAAGTCATTCGTCAGTCCCCCGTTAATAAAAGGGGCCGTCGCCTCCAAGAGAAACAGCCAACATGCCGGGGAAAATGCAACTGACAGGTAGCCCACAATTAGCCCCTTCGGGATAATTAGCGAATTGACGATTGCCCATAAGCAGGCTGTGATTAAAGGACCCTACATATTCAATTCCGCCTCCGTGGCCCCCGGTAACAGATACGTTACCAATGAAAAGGTAACCGAGAGGCAAATAATTAGCAAACAATCCAAAATAACCAGTAAATGCCCTTCATTTTTGGTCATAACCCGTACAACAGGCCTAATTAAATACATCATGGTATCCTTAAGTAACCCATGAGACATAAAACACACACACACACAAAAGAATGGCCATTAATGAGGATACTAACTAAGGAACCTGTGCTCCAAATAGAGATTCACAGATTAGAAAGAGTCTTGGCAGAATTCAATTTATATCTGTGTAATATTTGGATGGACAATATTGATGTGTTGCCACGTTTTTCTCAATTTGTATCTGTTTAAATTTTCACTGTTGTGCAGACCTGTGAGCTCAGACAATTCCCTCCTCCCCCCAGTTTTACTTATTTAAATTTTCACCATTGCGGGAAATCATGGAGGGATCATTAAGGTTGTGTGTGTCAGACAATAATTATTTAATGATGGTAGACGCTGAAATTCAAAAAGTGAAAGCTTCATAACTGATGAAGCATAAACTATCTGCATCGCATCACAAAACATATGATGTCAATATCCCAAAATCAAGCTCCGATAATTTCCAAAGTTCTGGCTGTAAATTTTAGTTATTATCTAGTGAAACATTTTGTGTGTGTGCAGCGAAACTGACATTTGCTGGCATTGGCCGATAAAAACCTGATCCTCCCAAGCTCCAACATAATCCACAAAAGGATGAATGGCTGATGATGAGTGGTAATAGCTACAAAACCCGGTCAGAATAGAGATTCATAGGTTATAAAGCCAGAAAATGTTAGGACCCATCTTGTCTGAGTGCCCTGAGCCAGGCCATAGAGCGAACTGCTCTGAAGATTTCACATCAGTTATTGATAACAATCAATGCTCAGTTAGCAAATCATTAACGCTATTTGTGAACAATATTTTATAGTTAAGTGGTTATACATAACTAATAATACATGTGTAATAGCTAGTAAATATTTCATTCAATAGACCACCGTCATTAATGTGTTATATCAAAAACTTAATGAATCATTCATATTTGTTTCATTCACAAAGAACTTGATCACTTTTATCCATTCATCACATCCCTCTAGTCTTCCTTGGCCCCTCATCCTCAATTCATCCATCCTCACACACCCCCGTCCATCCGCACAACCTTGTCTCCTCCCTCCCTGTCTCCATCTTCAGGCGCCCTCAGCCATCCCGCTATCCATCCCTATCCATTCCATTCCATCTGTGTCTTCCTCCTCCTTCATTCACCTGTCGCTAGATCTAGCCACCTAGCCCCATCCCTCCTCCAGTGCAGGCCTGCACATAGCTAACGTCTCCTTGTCTGTGTTCTCCACAGCATGGATTGGTTTCACTGCAACCAGTGTTTCCGCCAAGATGGGGCTGACTTCTGCATCACCAGCTGTGGACACCTCTTCTGCCGGAAATGCTTTACCGCAGGTGAGACCTAGGACATGTCCTCTGTGCTTTGCCCCCTGGGAGCTCAGGACTAATGGTTGTTTTAAACGTTTCCTTGAAAAATTACATTTTCTAAGAAAAAAAATTATGTCAAAAACATATCTCCAAAAATAAATATTTTTAAAATTAAATTTGAGAAGAGATTTTCAACAATCAAATTCTACAAAATTTCCCCCTGGAAGATTATTTTTTCTTTAAACAAAATAATTTTTTGACGAAACTAAAGAAGAAACTGAGGCTACATCTAGACTACAGGCTTCTTTTGGAAGTAGCATTTTTTGGAAGAGATCTTCTGAAAAAACTTCTTCCGAAAGAGAGTGTCCACACTGCAAAAGTGCATCGAAAAAGCGATCTGCTTTTTTGAAAGAGAGCGTCCAGACTGAATGGACGCTCTCTCGCATGTAAGCTGTGATTGCTGTGGGCAAAATGGCCACCAGGGCACCTGTGCTTTTTCCTCTTCCCTGGTCTTCGGAAAGAACTCCCTCTTCCCCGTCCACACATGCCTTTTTGCAAAAGAGCTCTTTTACAAAAAGGCTTCTTCCTCATAGAACGAGGATTACCACGTTTCAAAATAGCTTGAAAAAATGTTAACAAGTGTGAAAAGGTAACACTTGAAAACCCCTTTTCCCAGTGGGAAAAAACTAAAAAGGGTTTCTCTCACCTTCATACTCTGTTTCACTAAAAAAGAACGGAGAAGGATAGAATTCCTGGCCTGTGTGCACAAACTGTGCCATTTTACAGTCTCCTGGCTTAGTTACATCGGTATAAACTCTGTCCTGATTCTCCTACGATAATAATCAAATGTTTCAACCTTTGCAGATAAATGTGCCATTTGTGGTGCCACCTGCAAGTATCTCTGTCTCGCCAGTAATGTGAGTTGCTTTCCTCTTTCCCCATCCTGCCTTCCTTCTCGTCTGCTCACGAAGGGTGATGCTGGTTTAACTAGAGCTGTGCTCTGATGGCAATTTACCATGAGGCTCTTTTACAGTTTTAGCCCTGAACAATTTTGTTTTGATTGCTCCAGGCCCCCAAAATAATCATGTTGGCTCAAAATCTCTAGGTGGATTCAGGCACATGGGCCTCTGACCCCTTGAAACATCCCATACTCCTCCCTGAAAATCCCCCAGGAAGCCTGAAAGCGGCACAAAGGATTCTGGGATACAGCTTGAAGGTGCCCCAGCAAACCAGCCCGTATCTGACGGTTGAGTGGGAACGTGTCCTTTTGAAAGGGTCATCCATTCTTGCTTGAAAGACTCCATACCAAAACCAGAGATGTGCAAATTTGTCCTGGGCTCGCCATCTTAATCGCAAGTCATGCACTGTCTTGTTTCAAGTTCCGGCTTTCAGAGACACTGACCCAAGTAACCAGAAGTACCACATGTCAGCGCATACAATAACTGTGGTTGCTTTTCAAAGCATGAGCTTGCATGAGATAAAAAATTGGGGGTTGCTTCCCTTGCTTTCAGGTTGGAATCACATGTTCAAGCCTTCTGTCTCATGCTATGGCTACAGTACACTGTTCTTCCGGAAAAAGCTACGTAAATTGCAAAGCGCAATTTGTGTAGCTTTTTCCGCTTCTCTTTTTGGAAGAGGTTTTTCCAACATTTGGCCAGTCTACACCGGGCCAGATGTCAGAAAAAAACCCTTTTTTCGGAACATCCCTTCTTCCTCATAAAACGAGATTTACAGGGATGTCGAAAAAGTGAAGAGCAGACGCGTTCCCTGGACGTGGCAAAAAACTCTGTAGTGTAGACAAAGCCTCAGTCATGAAGGCTAGAAATGTGTGGGTGGGTGTGGGGGTGGGAGGGTGGTGTAAATTAAAGTATAAATGAAATTCTCCCATCGTCACAGTGTAAGCGGTTGGCAAAAAATAATGGACAATGGGATAAAAACGCCATAGCTTTCTAGCCTCAGGTTTTATAACACTGGGGTCACATATGTTTGTAGATACATGTCTCTCAATCTTCACTCAAATGTGCCCCTCAGATGCCAGTCCCTCTTGCCCGGATCATATTGCTGTGGAGACATGACCGAAGTCGGGTGGGAGCTACTCCATATTGCTCAATTTCTTTCTCATTCACAGATGAAACCCCAAGAAAAGATCTTTTTCAAGAGCCCAGTGGAAACAGCCCTCAAATATCTGGCCCACATCTCCCAGGTAAGGGGCAGATCTGACAGGCTCTATCCCATGTAACTATAGGCCAGTAAACAGTTCTGGGTTCAAGAATGAAAAAAGCTACATGAGGCTCAGTTGATGAAGAATTGAAGGACGGAGGTAGAATCAACACCAGGCAGCAGCACAGTTTTATGGAAAACACCTCAGTCAAACAAAGCTGACCTTCTCAGAGGAGATCACAAGTTGTGTTGGTAAAGGTAACAGTGTAGATCTGACTGGCTTTTGAAAGGTGTTTGACACAGCGCTGCCTGACACCCTGATTAAAGATTGGGCAGGGATCCAATGGTGACGGTGCACACGCTAAGAACCGGCTAAGGGACAGATGGCACCAACAAAAAGAGAAGACAGAGAGGGGACATAACAGCCTTCGAGTCCCCCAAAGGGTGTTACAAAGAGGAGGGAGACAAATTGTTCTCTTTAACCTCTGAGGCTAGGACAAGGAGCAATGGGCTTAAATTGCAGCAAGGGAGGGTCAGGTAGGACATTAGGAAAAACTTCCTGCCTATCAGGGTGGCTAAACACTGGAATAAATTGACTAGGAAGGTTGTGGACTCTACATCCCTGGAGAAAGTGAAGAGCAGGTTGGACAGACACCTGTCAGGGATAGTCTAAGTGGTGCTGGGTCCTGCCGTGAGGGCGGGGGACTGGACTCGATGACCTCTCGAGGTCCCTTCCCGTTCTAGTGTTCTGTGATTCTAAATAGTTCTCCACAGGAAACCACCATCCAATGGGGGTGTCGCCAGCTGGATCACCCAGAGGTTAGCTCTGCGCCTGGTGGTTTGCAGCACTGTGTACGCATAGCTAGCAACCGTGTCAAACCAGCCTCCTGTGAGACAGTTCCTGGCTTTGCCAATGGGGAGCGGCTGGAAAATGGTTTGCTTTTAGCAAGGCTTTGACACAGCAAACCCGGGCAGTCTGATCTTGAGGATACTACAAGGCGGAGGTCCTCACAGAGTAATACTGTCAAACCAGGAGCTCCTCTCAACGAGGGGTCACTCCCGGGACGGGTACTAGTCCATATTCTCATTCAGGACTCAGACAACAGAGCCGAGAACACGTTTCTAACATTTGCAGCTGTCTCCAAGCTGGGAGGGGTCGCTGGGATTCCAGTTCCAAACGACCTTGACCGATGGAGGAATGGGGCCGAATTCAACCAGAGGAATTTCAGCCAAGAGAAGTTCAAAAGACTTTGCTTAGAAAGGAAAAATTCAGAGACACAGCTACAAACCGGGGAAGGATAAGATAAAGGGGTACCGCGGTTGCAAAGGCGCCAGGGGCTTGAGTAACTCACAAACTGAAGATGAGTCACCAGCGTGAAGCAGTGGAGAGGAAAAAAAATCAAATATTCTGGGGGGTTGTCTGTAAGACATTGTTGTCCTGTTGTGCATGGCCCTGCCGGGGCCTCTGTTGGAGCATTGGGAAAGAGGGGGGCAAATTGGAGACAGTCCAGACAGGAGCGGCCTTAGATGAGCTGCCGGAAACTGGTGCCCTAGGCGAAACGCGCGATCGGCACCCCCGCCTCCAAAGCCCTCAACGGCCGTTTATCTCGGCACCCTAGGCGACCGCCTAGTCCGCCGGAATTGACGGGCCGTCACTGAGTCCAGAGGAGAGCACCGGAAACATGGCCGGCCGGGGAAGGTTAACCACATGGCTTACTTAGGGCTGCTCTAAAGAGGATGGAGCTGGATTGCTCACTGGTGGCAGAAGAAGGGGTGAGGGGCTTGGAGGAATCCCGGCGCTGGAGATTTTAAAGACCCCCACCTTGAGGCTGGCCTGGGTTTCCTCGGTCCTGCCTCAGGGGTGGGAGAGCTGGGGCCAGGCCCTCGGGCACTGGGGTGTTTCCAGGCCATTGCTGCGTGTGAGCAAGGCAATACGAGGTCACCCAACGGTTGGTGGAACGGGGCTTCGGGCATCCGGCTCACACCCGTTCCAGCCCAAGGCATTTCAGCCCAGAATGCCCAGTTCTGCACCCAGGCCGGAGGGGACCCGGAGGTCCGAGGGGCTCCGTGGCCACGCCCGTTCTGCGGCGACAGAGGCAGAGCGGAGACCGCTAGGGACAGGTGGGAGAAGGGCAGAGCCCAGCCAAGGGAGGGAGGGGGGTGGAGACGCCGCCGCCAGCGAGCGGGCTCTGCTGTTATCGGAGAGGATCCAGGAGGTCCCCCGTTTTCCCCCAGGGCCAAGCAGCTGGGGGCAGTTCAAGGGCAGGTGAGAATGGAGGACCGGGTTTAATCACCAGGCTGGGGGCTGGTTAGAGAAGGGCAGAGCCCAGCCAAGGGAGGGAGGGGGGTGGAGACGCCGCCGCCAGCGAGCGGGCTCTGCTGTTATCGGAGAGGATCCAGGAGGTCCCCCGTTTTCCCCCAGGGCCAAGCAGCTGGGGGCAGTTCAAGGGCAGGTGAGAATGGAGGACCGGGTTTAATCACCAGGCTGGGGGCTGGTTAGAGAAGGGCAGAGCCCAGCCAAGGGAGGGAGGGGGGTGGAGACGCCGCCGCCAGCGAGCGGGCTCTGCTGTTATCGGAGAGGATCCAGGAGGTCCCCCGTTTTCCCCCAGGGCCAAGCAGCTGGGGGCAGTTCAAGGGCAGGTGAGAATGGAGGACCGGGTTTAATCACCAGGCTGGGGGCTGGTTAATAATCAGTGCAAAGGAACTCAACCCTCCCCCCCCCCCCCCCTCCTAATTTCTTTTCCCCAACCCCACCAGGGCCCCCAGCCAGTCCCCACCTGGAGCTGCGTGGGACCCAGACCCCCAGAGGGGAAAAGCCTCATGCCCCATTCGCTGCCCTGGGGGCTGGTGTGGGAGCCGATGCCCCCTAGAAGGGGACAGGCCCCTGCCCCATTTGCTGCCGTGGGGCGGGAGCCAGCGCCCCCTAGAGGGTCCGGCTTCTGTCCCATTCGCAGTGTCTGCCTTCCAGGTGTGGGGTTTCCAGCGGGCGCAGACCGAGCGGCTGCTCTCGTTCTACAAGGACCGGGTGTCCCAGGCGGAGAGGTCCTTGCAGGAGGCGCGCCAGAAACTCTCCACTTGCGACAGGTGAGAGCCCAGCCCCCAGGTGAGTGCCGGAGGGGCGGGGGGAGCCTGGCTCTCGCTCATGGGAGCCCAGCCCTTCCAACCCTCCCTGTCTCTCCCGCAGAGAGTTAGAGGCGCTGAGGGAGGAGAACAAGGAGCTGAAGAAATATCTGAGCATCCTCAAGGTGAGCGCTGTCTGTCTGTCCATCTGTCCATGTGCTGTCCCATCCGCTGCCTTGTCCCACCTGCTGTCCGTCTGCCTGTCTCAGCTTGCCCGCCGTCCGTCCGTCTGTGTCTCAGCCTGCTGTCCATCTGTCTGTCTCGGGCTACCCGCCATCTGTCTGCCTGTCATCTGTGCCACTCACCCCCCGTTCAGCCCGGACTCCTGTCTCTCTCCTGCTTCCCGGGACACACTAACCTCCTGCCACTCTCCCCACAGGCCTCGCCCCGCCGATGCCCGGGCAC